GATGATGAAGGTGGTCTGATTTCGATAAAGAAATTCATAGGTAGTTATCCGCATTAATATTTTCATGTATTTTAGATCGAACAGATCGTTTCGCATTCAAGTACACTACAGTGATCTTTTTATTTTCGTTTAGATGAAAAAATAAAAGGAACTGCTTCCATATTAGATCGTCAGTATCTATGGGAGTAATAAAAAGAATATAATTATGCCGAAGCATAACTTTCGAGGATTCTTGAGCGTTTAAGTAATGCTGAAAGAAAAAAAATTAACCCTATTGCTTAGTAATCAGATAATACTCGAACAGTCTGTGATCATGTGGATACCTCAAGATGAACATTTACTAGCCACCATCCTTCATCCACAACTCAAACATTTTGGTAAAAATCCATCTGATAAAATTAGAGCAATGTAAGTACTTCAAAAAGAAATTCACAAACGTACAACAGCAAATCCATCATCATCTTCATTTGATTCATCTTCTACACCAATTACGATGTCTGTTCTGACATCATCATCAGAAAAGAAAACAGCAGAAATACGAAAAAAAATCTTTTATCCTTATGTTTTGATGATCCTCAATCACCAACATCTACTGTTGATGAATTTGCTTCATGGATGTCTTCGACTTTGACATTAGATGATGAAGAAAATGATGATATCTTGGGATTTTGGTCATATCATAATCAATCTTTTCCTATCATTTCAACTATAGTACTTGACATTTTTGCTATTCCTGCATCAAACACGACAGTCGAGAGATTGTTTTCTATTTCTAAATATACTATAACAGATAAACGAACAAGGTTAGGAATGGAAAAGATTAATAAATTAATGTTTTTAAGAAAAAATCTTAATATTCTTAAAGTTATATTTGATAACCAAATGGGTAACAATGAACAAAATCAAGGGAAACGAAAGAATGATCAATCATCAAATAAATCATCTGATGAAAATATTAAAAAACAAAAAGTAGACGAAAATGATGACATTCTTATTGAAGAAAAAGAAAATATGTTTTAGTAGTACATTTTTTTTCTAAAATACTTTTATGTAGTCTCGTTAAAATATATTTATAATGTATGTATGTTTTCTGGTATTATGAGTGTGTATTGATTCTATTTGTTTGTTTTGAATTAGAAAAATAAAAAAAAAGACATTGATACTTATTGAAAGAATAATAAACATGATGAAATATTTAATTATCTGATGAAATTTAAAAAATACGCGTCATATGTGTACATTAAAAATTTGTCGTGACTGATCGTGACCGGGTTCTGGTCACGATCATGACCGTAACCGTGACCGTGAGTCACGGCAGTCACGGCGGTCACGCAGGTGTCTAGTCACAAGGCCTGGGTATGATCGAGCCTACTCTCGGTTGGACAACTAAAGGCTTAGGTAGACTCGTGGATGGAATAAATGAAGGCTTAGGTAGGATCTATTCATAGACGATGGAATCACACGGCTTGAGTAGACTAAAGCCCATCTTAGGTTCAAATTCCATAGACTGTGGTACGCTCAAATAATTGTTTTCTACTACGTCAAATTGATAGGTTTGCGCAGTACATAAAAACTTTTGTACGGACGTCAAGATTTTTTGCCGCTATCGGCAACAAATAGTAACATTTATTGAAACAGACCTAGAAACTGTTTTTGAGAAAACTTTTAGTTTTGTGTGGCTAAATGTCCAATCTTGGATCAGCCATGAT